AAACAAAAGCCACAGCAAAATGCAAACAAATTATAAACTGACACAACATTAAACCATAGAAGAGAGATGAGAAAAAATGACAGCAGAACTTAAAACCTTTTCCCTTCTGATTCCTAATGCCTTGATGCTTTTATTTCAACTAGAAAAAATCCCCATGACCTGCTAAGCAACACGATAGCTAGAGTTGGCTTATAATTTGTAGAATATCAACTACTTTGACAACAGGATTAGCTCTAAGATATGAAAAATAAATTCAGGTCAAGGCACACAGAGCTGATCAAGCACTGCCCTGTAATTTAGTCCTTGCATTCCCTGGGGAATGTGCTGTAGAGAAGGATGGCCTTGGACAGCCATACACGATGCTGCAGGCTGCATTTCAGCCACACAAACTGCAGACACACTAAGATTGATATGATCAGTTCTTGAATGTTTCATGAAATAAAAACTGCTCATATATAACACAGAATTTCAACTTTTTATGTCTTTGAATGTCTTTTTATGTCTTTGGGATGCATTTCAAGGAAATTACTCTGTGCAGCCCAGCCTCAAAGTGGCCTTCTGACACATCCCAATACCTATAAACCACAACCCTCTCTGGATGGGTCCATAGCAAATATCCTTAGCAACTTGGCTACTTTATTCAGAATCCTCCTGGCTATATTTCCCTCTGAGTTTTTGTAACCATTTCTCTAAACAAATTACACTGTTTACCTCAGACAACAGGATTTTTAAAGGTGCTTACAGTCACAGGTAAATTGGTGTACTCCAGGCAAACAATACCATCGCCTTAAATACACAAACCCTCAGAGTAAAAATTTCTCTCTGCTACCAAAAGTCATTTTCACCTTCAAATTTCCTGAAATAATCTCATTTCAACCACTCACACATCACCAACAGCAGACATTACTTTAACTGTGTCAAACACCTATAGTTTAACAAAATTATCATCCTTATCTTACCTGTCTGCACAGCTGTTACATTTCACCATACTCAGAACAGCTCCCATGAGAAAGAACATTAGAATGGGATCCAGCAGAATATATTGGGACAATGTAATACAGCCTGTATCTGCAGAGAGACACACAGCAATGTCAGAAAGACTTGCAATTCCAAAGTGAATCTAAAATTGTGGGAATTCAGCTTCCTCAGTGTACTCAAGAAGGAGGTGGGAAATTTTAGAAACAGAAGGAGATCATAACATTTCATCTTCTACATGGTAGCAAAGGGGAAAAAAAAAAAAAACAAACCAAACAAAAAAACCCCAAACAACTACAAGAACAAAAGGCAGTACAGCAGTATCTGTGAAACATACTGGAAAGTGCTGGCAATATATTCAGATAGAGAGGATTACAGCCAGCAATGATCTACCGAAGGCACCACCATGGTGCCAGAGGAGAAGATACCTTTCAGATGGTACCTATAAAAAATGAATACAGCTTTGATATTTTAAGTCTCCATTTCTCAATACCTGTGTCTTTACAAAACTCCTACTTTGCTGACTTCATTTGCAAGGTCAATTTATCCACTTGGCTCAATTCAAGAAGGAACTTTATTATTTTTTTATTGTGAACTCTTCTAAAGTAATGCAGGGGTTGTTAAAGATCTCTATAATTCATACAGGAAACATCAATATTTCACTAGAGGGCAAAATCATTCCTGACCACCCACTTTATGAAATTTTTTAAAATTAAGGTGCAATCTAATCCAATACCGTGGTTATGCAAATAACAGAAGTACTTATGAACTAAACAAGACTGTGAAGTTCTTAAGGGGACCACCAAGTAAGAAACCTCATACACATATACACTAAAAAAAGTGGAATTCCTTTGCTTTTGAGAAAGTCTCTCATTAATCCAAATATCCCCTGCTTAGGTAACACATGGTAATCCAGAAATTAAATTATCTGAACAATTAAGATACTAAATTTTGCTGTAGCAGGAACACCTACCAAAAATAAGGATGAAAGCCGTGAGTAAGGCTGCTGGCAGTGACTTTGACAGTTCCAACACTGTGAGGTAGGCAAAAGGAACCAGGCAGGAGCCAAGAAATGCACAAAACTGCAGGAAAAGATCATGGCAGAAGTTATAACCTCACCCATGGTGGACAACAGCTCACACCCTTTCCCTTTCCCTTTCCCTTTCCCTTCCTTCATCTTCCATACCTACAACAACAGGAGGTGTTGCAGCAGCTGAACTGAGTCACAAAGAACATCAGACAAAAGCCAGCTGAACAAAGACACTGCTCAGAGGACAGAGGCTTACTCTGTTCTGCAGTGGTGTCAGTAACAACAGCCAGTCACACTCTTGCTAGACTACACCAGATATTTATAAATAGATGCATCAAGTAGGTGCACTACACATCCACTACACTCACCCTTTTTTAAGATACTAGATTATGAAAGCTAAGAACAAAATACACTTGCATCTTATATCTTTAGCAGACCAGATTCCTCTCTTCTACACAAATGAGACCAAGGATAGTTGGAGGAGAAATAGAAGAAATCAAAACAAAAGAAAGCAAGACCACAGTAGAATTTATTATCTTTAATGTCTGTTTCTAGCACCTCTCCCAATTTCGGCTCAGGGAAATCTAAAACCATGAAATTCTAGAAACTAAACTAAGAAAACATCCTTTCTCAGTTTTAGTTTTCTTTCTAGGTAGTAGCAATTAGCCACTGTTTCTCTTTTTGACTTATCTGCTGTCAGTTATATGGCTCTTCATCTTCCTAAAAAGCAGTAGAGCTAGGTTTTCAGATCAAATACAACTCTGAATTCTGCCTTGCTGTCCCAGGCTCCATCAGCGTACTCAGCTTAGTGCCACTGGTGGTGGCAAACTGCAGGTGACAGTGGATGATCCTGGCTTTTTGATACCCTTGGCTCCCCAGGAGATTAGCCAGGCACAATGGAGTGAGAGAAGCTCAAACCCAGCAATGTTTGCTTTGCAGACAAAGCAAGGTATCTATCCCATGCAGCAGTGTAGTCTCACTAACTAGAAGGAAGAGCTGCCCTCAATTTTCACCTTAACTTCTTACCTGTCCTCTCACAGACACATTAAGACTTATTCACAATAGAACCACTAACACTTTTCAAAGGAGCTTAAAGACAAGGCACGAGGCTAAACAGACCTCTGACCTGATCATGGAGAGCTGTTCTTAAGATGGAACACTCTGTATTGAAAGGCACAGGAAAGCTAACCAGCTTGACAGTAGCCTGCAGAGCCTTACCCCTCTCATGCCTACGTAGTTGTGCTGCTCATATCGATCCCCTGGCTTCTGGAAAGGAAATGTACCATCATATCCACTCAGGTAGCCAGCAAGTCCAATCAACATCTGAAGAGAACACGTGAAAAAACTGGTCAGGAAAATCACACGGGAGGAAAAAGTATCCAGGCTTGCAGCAGGTAAGATTTCTATGGAAGCCACATTGACCCAGAGGACAAATAATTCAGACATATCATCCAAAAAAGAGTTTATTTACAAAAATCATATATGTACATACTGCCCTTTGTCTAAAGGCAAAATCAGAATTATTTTTGCAACAGACTATAAGGCTGCCTGCAAGCTCAAGAAAAATAGCAGGTGTGGAATTGAGCACAGAGAATTCTGTAGAGTCTCCCATAGCTCCCTATCACTTTAGCTTCAGGAGACTCAGTCTGAAAGACAACCTTAACAAGGCAGGAGGATGCACCTTCATCCACACTACACACTGTTGCTAAAACAAGTTCATTTACAGAACAGGAAATCAATGCTCTCAGGGTCATTTGTGGCAGGCATCTCATTTGCTCACAAGTTATCAGGAACTGTTTGCTTCCTTTAAAATGTAGGCTTCTATTACATATGCCCTGCAAGTGTCACATTGATTTTTTTCATGTCAAGCCTTTCAAAAACCCAGCATTGCAATACTGTTTGGTTTTCTTATATTTGAAACATTTTTTGTGAAGACAAAAAGTTGTAAGTTGAGGCTCTGGACACAGAATGCAAATGGCTGTGGTGTCAACAATAGTTAGGATGGGCTTTGTTGTTCACCACATCCTTTGGCCAGAAGCCAGAGGCATAATTTTATTGGCCCACTCCTGTGGCTTCCAAAACATGCAACAGAAAAGCAGTTTACCTTCCCCAAAGGGGGATGGACATCAAAGAAGAAGGTCCGATTAATGTAGTAACTTCCCATCTTCCCAAAATGAGTTTCATCCCAACTGGAAAAACACACCAACAAAACACAAACCACAATAACCAATCTGCTACAATGCTGAAGATAATTAAAAAAAAAATCCAGGAAAATCTTTTTATTTATGCTTTTTATAGTATAGAGGGTTACCGTCTTACATTCCATATGAGACAATGCATTATACTCAGTGGGAAATCATGGAGAGCACTGCAGCCACTGTAGGAAAGGTGCTTTTTTTTAAAAGTGTTTTATATTATCACTCCAAAACCTCTGGTTTGCCCTTTTGATTCCAAATTGACCTTAGAGAGGTTAAAAAGTCGGCCTGCTGCACAAAGATCCCCAAAAGGCGCTCGCCGGGAGCCCTCCCTGCAGCACGTCCCGAGAGCAGCGGGGAGGCGCCGGGCCGGGCCGGGCCGGGCCGGGAGCGCAGCACTTCCTTGCGGCCCTCACTGCCATGTCCCGGCCCCACCTGCCGGGACAAACAGGGATCCCTCCCACGCCGGGTGGGGAAGGGGCGCGGGCCGGGAGCCAGGGTGCGGTGCCGGCCGCTGTGGCCGGGAGCAGGCGGACACGCACCCACCCGCACCCCGGGCCCGGGCCGTGCCCGGCCGGAGAGGCGCACGCCCCGCCCCGGCCCGTACCATACGTGCGGCGGCTCCCGCAGGCGGTGGAAGCGGGAGGCGAAGCTGAGGAGGGTGACGAAGGCCAGGGCGGCCGGGCGGGTGGCGGCGGG